ATTGCACCTCTTATCCTCGGTTTCGCTACCATTGGCTTTTCCCTCATCTACGTTGCCTTCAGGTACAACTTCCTTTACGTGTACGAGACCAACCTGGACACCAAGGGCGAGGCTTACCAGAAGGCCCTTCGCCAGCTTATGACCGGTATCTACCTGTCTGAGATCTGCCTTATCGGTCTATTTGCTATTGCCACGGCCGAAAACATCCAGGCTGTCGGTCCGTTGGCCATCATGTGCCTGCTCCTCTTCCTCACCCTCGTCTTCCAGTTCACACTGAAATTCGCTCTGAAGCACGAGGAAGCTCGCCTGGCCTACTGCGACCCGTCCCCTGCCCACGGCCTCCACACCAACGGCCACCACGAGGACGGCATGCACACTCAGAACGGCGAGAAGGTCCACACTACCGATGCTACCCCCAGCTACGCACCCAAGCCCACTCGTATGCCCGGATTCCTGGCCAAGATGTTCAACCCCGAGAAGCACTCGATCCACAACCTCTCCGCGTCCCTCGACCAGTTCTACCACCAGCCGCAAGAGCCGCTGCCCATGGAGATCCAGAAGCGCGCCTTCTTCAACCCCTCCGTCACCAGCCCCACACCCGTGATCTGGATCGTAAAGGACGACATGGGCATCAGCACGCGCGAAATCAGGGACACCCAGAAGACCGTCCCCGGACTCGTCATCACGGACGAGCAGGCTACCTTCAACGAGAAGGGCAAGGTGTACTGGAAGGGTGTCGAGGACGGTCACTCGCGCGAGGCACCCGTCTTTGACGAGCGTATTGTGTACTAGTGGATGGTCTCTTTCATTTCAGCTAATGACGATGGAGTTCGATACCCAAAAAGGGATGAAACGGTTTCCTTGACTTGTTTTTGCGGATGAGCAGAGCAGCGATGGCGAATGAGGCGTGTTTTCAATTCTATAAACGAGTACCCCTGCTACTTTAGCTATATAGTTCCTAGTAATGACACTGAGTTGCACACTCATTTCAAGACTGAACTGTGAGTAATGATTCATGGTGTGTGTGTGTGAGTGTGGTGTTCTTTGTAATGATGTGTAATGGGTATCATGCAACTATGCTCTTCACTCGCTGGTGATGAAATTTTCAAACTGCGCCTGCCCTCCTCTTCTCCAAAATCTGCAGCTTCAACCCTTCAGCCGCGACCCCGGTCTCTAGGACTCTTCCTACACCCTTCTTCCATGTCTCCTCGAGCGTCTTGAGCTCAGCACCCGCGCTATCTTGCTGCGACCTCCTCGCCATCTCCACCTCTTCTTGCTGCTTGCCCAAATCCGCCAGCTCAGCCTCGATGCCCTTGAGTATATCCTCCAACTGCGAGTTCCCAACCAGCCACGCGTTCTTCCCGAATTTCTCCAACAAGCCCAACTGCGTCAGCCTGCCCTGCACATACTCCGAGCTCGTGTACGCCTGCTTGAGCGCCTTATTCCACCGCTCCAGCAGCTCCGGCCTCTCCTCGTCGCTAGTCGGGGTAGTGCTCTCCGGCGCATCGAGATCCTCATAGCGCTTCAAATCGACGCCAGACAGCTTCGAAGTAGGGTGATCGTCGAGGCGCGCATGTTCGCGCGTGATGAAATCGGAAAAGGTAGGTGTGTATTTCGTGACTGCTGGTATAAGCGCGGGATGCATATCTGTCGTGTCTACGCCCGCGGCCCTGATATCGGCGTTGATGGCATGTCTAGCAGCGACCAGGCTCGCAGCATCGAGCTCCGTATCAACATCTACAAGCAGTTAGCGAGGCAATAACGGGGGTTATCAGTCCAGATGGCGCGCGTGACTGGGCGCATCGGACATGTTTGCTGTGTTGGGGCATGTCGCAAATTGGACGTACAAGGGAGATGGTCGTAGGATTCCTGGATGAGGGGCATGGCGGGCAAGCGACGTGCAGCGGGCCGGGATAAGGGCGAGGTGGGTGGTGTATTGGATGCGCAGGTGAGTTTGAAGTATTGGAAGGGTGTCGCGAAACTAGAGAAGCAGGCCCGCTAGATTTAGGCGGATGGGCCTTGCGTGGTCGCGTCCGGGCTCCCCGCCAACCAGACGGCGAGGAACCCCGCAACGTCATGCAATGCAGGTGCCGGGCGCGACTATCAAGCTTCGCGCTGCTGTGTGGCCAGAGGCGATACTTTGTCTCCCCTGCCTATCTATCGCCCATGTGCAACCCTGTACACCTACACGTCTGGCACGCGTAGCTTCCGGTGCCAGCAGTAGCGTACAAGAACCTCGCCGCGCCCCGTCCAGCGGCTTCCTGCTTCTTTCCGCACACTTCCGCCCAGACATCTCTTCGCGTCCATGGCGCGCTCACACATCGCAGTCGCACTGGGTGCGGCCCTTGTTGCCTCGTTGATTATCGCCCAGCTCGTTATCAACCTCGGATTCCCCGTCGTCGACTTCTGGCATGCGCGCCTCGATCAGACGTACACTGGAGCCCAGCAGGATGTCTTCAACAGCGAGAAGCAGGATGGAGGCCAGGCCGGTGACGCTTCTTCGTACCTTGTCGGCGTTGGCAAGGCGGATATCACTGGGTAGGTGGTGAGGAGATCACTGTGCGACTGTACTAACGTCGCCACAGTCCCGTCGTCGAGCTCAACATGATGGGCTACGCCAACTCGTCGCAAATCGGATCTGGACTCCGCCAACGCCTCTACGCCCGCGCCTTCATCGTCGGCAACCCGGACGAAGCCAGCGAACGGTTCGTGTACCTCGTCCTCGACACACAGTCTGGAGACACTGCCATCCGCAATGGCATCTTGGAAGGGCTCCAGGCCATGGGCTCCGAATACGCTGTATACGGGAAGAACAATGTCGCCGTGACAGGCACGCACAGCCATGCCGGACCGGGAGCCTGGTTGAATTACCTCCTCCCGCAGATCACGAGTCAGGGTTTCGACAAGCAGAGCTATCGCGCGATTGTGGACGGAACGCTTCTGTCTATCAAGAGGGCGCATGAAGGACTTACCCTGGGAACTGTCAGCGCTGGCAGTGCGAAGATTGCTGATGCAAACATCAACCGCAGTCTGTTCGCCTACCTTGCCAACCCCCAAGCAGAACGCGATCGCTACACGGACAATGTGGACAAGACCATGACACTTTTGAAGTTCACGAGAGCCAGTGATGGAAAGAGCATTGGAATTTTGAATTGGTTCCCTGTTCATGGCACCAGTATGCTTGGAAACCAGACGCTCATTGCTGGAGACAACAAGGGCGTGGCCGCATACTTGCTGGAGAAAGACATGGAGGCCAACGCTGCCGACTCAAATGCTGCCGAGGGCTTTGTGGCAGGCTTCTCACAAGCCAACGTCGGTGACACGACCCCAAACGTACTCGGCGCCTATTGCGAAGACGGGTCAGGCCAGCAGTGCCGACTCAACGACAGCACTTGCGGAGGAAAGAGCCAAGACTGCCACGGTCGTGGACCGTTCTTCGGCCTGGACGACGGAGGCCACAAGTCGTGCTACGAGATTGGCAGGCGTCAGGCCGAGGGTGCCAGGAGCATCTACGACTTCAATGCTTTCACGCCCATCTCCGGCAAGGTCCGCTCGTTCCACACCTATGTCGACTTTTCCAACTTCACCTTCACCCTCAGCAATGGATCCGTCGTCCATACATGCCCAGCAGCCATGGGTAACTCCTTCGCTGCTGGCACATCTGACGGCCCTGGCGCCTTTGACTTTGTCCAGAACGACCCCGGTGCGCCCTCGAATCCCTTCTGGAACCTCGTCGGCAGCGCCATCGCACCACCAAGCAAAGAGCAAAAGGAGTGCCAGTACCCGAAGCCCGTCTTACTGAACGTCGGACAAGCCAACGTACCATACCCCTGGTCCCCAAACATCGTCGACATCCAAGTCCTCCGTGTCGGCCAACTCGTCATCATCGTCTCCCCCGGCGAGGCAACAACCATGTCCGGCCGCCGCTGGCGCGAAGCCGTCCACAACGCCATCATCTCTTCTAACATAGCCACCTCACCCATCGTAGTCCTAGGCGGTCCAGCAAACAGCTACACCCACTACATCGCTACGGAAGAAGAATACGGCATCCAGCGCTACGAAGGCGCATCCACCCTCTACGGCCCCCACACCCTAAACGCCTACATCAACTCTACTCTAACATACCTCCCCTATCTCTCCGACTCCTCATCTTCTCCCCCTCCGCCCGGTCCCTCGCCCCCCGACAACCGCGACAAATCCATCTCCCTCATCACCGGCGTCGTCTACGACGGTGCTGGCTTCGGCCGCTCCTTCGGCCAAGTCACCAAAGACGTCCTGCCCCTTTACGCCCGCGGCGCCACCGTCTCCGCGACGTTCGTCGGCGCGAATCCGCGTAACAACCTCCGTCTTGAAGGCACGTTTGCTGCTATAGAGAAACAGAGCAGTGATACTGATGGTGGTGGGGAGTGGACGCAGGTTAAGAACGACGAGGATTGGGAGTTGGTGTATCAGTGGAAGAGGGTGAATGGGCTTACGGGGACGAGTGATGTGACTATTAGTTGGGATACGGGGATTATGGGGGTGGAGAAGGGAGTGTATCGGATTAGGTATTATGGGGATGCTAAGAAGGTGGGAGGGAGTATTGAGGAGTTTGAGGGGGTTAGTGGGGTTTTTGAGTTACAGTGAGGGGGTTGGTGGGTTTGGGATGATAGTATAAGGCTGTATGATGGTACGATGGTATGATTTTTCATGTGAGGAGGATGAGAAGGGAAATGTAGTTTATACCCCATTTTGGTCAGAGAATGAATGGATATTATCTCGCGTTTCGATTCGGAAGTGTGACGTCGCATATGAGAGGGGAAGGGCATGACGCGGCATACGATGTTGGGTCAGATATATCGTGATCTTGAGAGTGCTACATTATCACTATTGCTCGTTTTTCCGCTCACGATGGGTGTTGCTCACTCCTCCATGCAATCTCTTAAACTTTCTCCAAACTTCGTGACGAGTATTGTCCACAAATACAGAAGCTTTACTTGTCGTTCCCAATACCATCCGTGCTACTCTCCGTCCTCCAACTCCATATCTTCATCCTCGACCTTGACTCGCTGCCTAATCGATAGACCACGAATTCCTGGCCAGCCTGTCATACCAGCCCCCTGCTCGTTGACCTGGTGTGAGCCACTGTGCGCTTCTTCACTCTTGTCCTGCTCTTTTTTAAGAGCTTTCTGCAGCTTGCTGACCATCGCCCTATCCTTTCCCTGCTCCCTCGCGAGCTGTTTCTCCAGCGCTTCAACATCGCTGTTGTCGTTGTTGTTATCACCGGCGCGAGCATCACGTATGGCGTTTTCGCCCTGCCGACATGCTTCCTTTAGTTCTTGCTCCAGCCGTGTTATATCCGCTCTTAATGCTGCTATGGTACTTGTTACCGTGGTGATGACGCTTGACTCGGGTACGTGATGAGGAGGCGAAACTTGTGTATTCGGTGCACCCACTTGTGAGCGTGCTCTAAGGTCTGCTATCATCTTGTGGGTGTCAGAGAGCTCTTGCTGGATCTGAGAATCCCGGATCTCTTTTTTGCCCGGCTGGTAGCTCATCGCCTCAACTCTTCGTTTTTTCTCTGCTAGGTACACTCTCTTTGGTAGTCGCTGGGGGTCTCTTGGTCTGCGTCCTCGTTTACCGGTGGAACGGTGGATCTCTCGAAATCGATTACGCTTATTCTCGCGTCTATAGGAAGTAAGAGTGCCCTATTGACGTTGTAGTTAGTATATGCATTAGAGGACAGTAGTGTGTCGTTCGGTGAGCTTGTTTGTAGACTGAGTGCACTTACCTCGCCAGATGATCCAGCTTTGGGAACAACGGCGGGAACTGACTCTGCGAGTCCTTGCTCCTGCTTTAACGGTATCCAGTTGTCGAGCTCGTCACCCTCCTCCTCATCCTTGACTTGCGCGTACTGCTGATATCGTCCCATAGTGGCTGGGTCCCCGTTGCGGGTCGGAGCTGAAGTGGTGTGGAGAAGTTCAGATTGGAGAGGCGGGGTGTTGTGATGTTAGCAAGCGTGCACGTGGCGAAGTTCACGAACGGGGAAGGAGCGAAGTGAAGGTGAGTGCGTTGCCGAGGCGATGCGATAATAATTGGACACATCGGAGGTGACGAACCCTCAAGGTGTGCGAATGTCCACGATTGGAAGAGCATAGCAACATGCGAAGTTCAAGCCATAATAGTTCCCATAGAAGAGCCTATCTTCTCGGCGCAACCTATCGCGCATCTCTTGCGTTGCTCACCATCACTCATTCTCCATTAGCTCTTCATCCTTGATGATCTCTTCGCTCACAAGCGACGCCTCATCGGTACGCATCTGCTCTTCCACAAGCCTCTCATCGTCCTCAATATACTGCACAATCTCCTCATCCGTATGTCCCATCAAGCCCAGGGCATATGCTAAACGCTCATCAGCCCTACGCACCCGCTTCTCAGCTCTGATACTCTTCACTTCTTCCTCTCTCAGCTTCTTCTGTAGGTTACGAACCGCCGCCGATTCGTTCTGAGCCTTTGCTTGTACAAGTTTGTTCTGCAGTGCTTCAATCATGGCCTTGTCTTCTTTATGCTCGGCGCCGTTGTTGTACGCGCGAATGTCTCGCTTTGCGTTATCGACTTCCCGCTGCACATTGTCAATCCTCTTCTGTAGTTGCAGATTCTCCAGCTTCAGATCTCTGAGGATATTGGTTTTGTCTGGTCCCACGACTCCTTGGAGGAGGTGGACTTGGGTCTCAAGATCTCTCAGCCGCTGTGCTGTTATTCCGTCGCGGGCCTCTCTAAGGTCTTTGCGGAGCAGGGAATTCATCGTCTCGAGACGCTGGACATGATTTTCCCGCTTTGTTAAGGGTTCGGTTGGCTTGGCTTTCTTCTTCTTCTGCGGTTTGTTGTGGATAGTGGTGGTCTGGTGAAGTTCCAATTAGCGCGTGTCAGAACAGAAAGTAGATTGTGAGTTGGCGAGCTCGTCTTGAGATTGAACAAACTTACATGATTGGTCGGCTCTTCTTTCATGAATGCGCCGGGAAGTCTCTCTGCGGACTCTCGTTCTTGCTTCACCGGTACCCAGATTCCGAGCTCATCGTACTCTTCCTTGACCTGGACTCTGTATTGCTGATGCGGATGCATCGTCGTAGTGGTGCTGCTGTGGCTTGAGCTTGTGGTGTTGTGGAGAAGTAACGGTCGTAGAGGCGACTGTTTGTAAGTTCGGCAAATGCGCACATGGTAAGGTGTTTTGATGAGGAAGGAGCGAAGTGAAGGTGAGCGCGTTGCCAAGGAGACGCGTTGGAAACGGGCACCCTAGATGCGCGCGCCGATGAAAGTGAAGGTAAATAGTCTACATGTATATGCGATGAAAATAGTAGAGCCCAATACTGAAGTGTAGCCATAATAATTGAATGCTTTCGACTGTGGTGTAGACCTATTTTTCGACCCACGCCATTGCGCCAACCCAAAAGAAACTCGTGATATCATCCCACTACCTCCCCATCATGACCACTAATCCACAGTCCCCCACTGCGGCGGCCCACCCTCAATCTGCCTAACCTCCTTCTGCCTCTTAACATTCCTCTCATAATGCTCCTCCTTCTCCTTCAACATCCGCCTCTCCACCCCAGCCCTATGCTCCAACTCCTGTTTCCGCTGCTCAATCATCTTGCTCTCAGCCGCCATAGCCTCCCTCAGTTTCCTCTCCTCCGTAGCCGCCCGTGCCGCAGCGGCATCGCGCTCTTGCTCTTGTACCAAGTTGTGCCAGGCCACTCGTTCCGAGCGCTTCATGCGTTCCGCCTCCCTCACGCGGTGGACTTCGAATTCGTGTTTTTGCTGCTCTAGGGCGGTGTAGTGTTGGGTTGCTTTGGTTTGTAGTTCCAGTTCGACGGTTTGGCTCTCGCGCTTGCGTCGGAGGATGTCTTTGTGACTTGTCTCCTCGATTGTGCGAGTGTGCTCGAACTTCTCTTTCTCGTGGCGGATGGAGAGCTCGTGTTCCTTTTGCTTGTCTACGAGTTTGGCGATCGCGGGTGGGATGCCTGTTGCGCCGACGGGTTGGAGTGCGGACGAGGAGTAGTAGACTGGAACACAGGCCTTGTCGCGCAGGAGATCGAGTAGGGCCTTTTTGACGGGAGCGCGGGCGGGCGTAGGGATTAGCTCAACGTAGGAGTAGGGTGAGTAATGAAGGCCTGAGGCTGCATCGCAGTAGATGTGTGCTTCATCATTGAGGTCTTGCCATATCTCTGTCTCTAGCAGGGCCTCCGTGATTGGAAGGGCGCTGTAGGCATTGTCGAGCGCGAGGATGACACTGGACTTCTCGTTGCGAGCGCGGAATTTGGGGTTTACGCGTTTGGTCAAGAGAAGACGCAGTAGCTGGCGAAGCTTCGAGCGATGCGCGGATGTGGAGACCCTCGCGTTGAGACATACCTCTCCGAGAACATTTCTGCCTCCATGAAGACGGGAGGGATAGTTTGGATCATGAGCATGCTCCAACAAGGCCTTCGTGACCTCGACGTTGAGTTCTCTTGCTGACTCATGTAAGGCACCATCATTTGCTAGCGAGCATGGCGCTAGTGACTTCACTGTGGCTTCCCCAGACACACTGCTGCTAGCGTAGAAGAGTGCGGATTTGTTCCAGACATCCCGAAGATCCGCATCCGAACCCCGCACGACTAGTGCATTTACTATCTCATGACGCCCCTCACGAGCGGCGAGCATAAGTGCCGTAGTCTCCGAAGCGGCAGAAAGTCGGTCAACGGATGCTCCAGCTTCCAAAAGGGCGGAGATAACGGCGTCCGAAATGCGCTTTTGTGGTTGAGCTAATGCCCAAAGCAGTGCGGGCACAGTTTCGGGTCCGCAGGACGAATGGAGAACCGTGGGGATGGTTATTTCCGGGTTCAAGCCGTGCTTCAAGAGTAGCGTGATGAGGGCGCTGTTGCGTGGGTACACAGTCATGGTGGTGATGAGTATCGGTGGCTTGTTATAGCCGACACTGAGCTGTTCAAGTATGCAACCGTGATCGAGGCATGACTGTATTGCGGCGACGACTACTTCGTCTTGGAGCTTGGAACTCAATAACGCTGGAACGACGACGTTGAACTTGGGTTTGTGACGCATGAGCTTCTCAAAGATGGTGTGACTGTGCTTTTGTGCTGCGAAAACGAAGCACGCCCCATCCGCCGTGTTGACATCCGCGTGATATCGAAGCAACAGATCAATCCAGGGCTCCGTATACTTACTATGCTCGTTGCTGAGAACTAGTCGTAGAGCTGCGTCAATTGCGGATTGCTCAACTCCACGGGCAAGTAGCTCTTGTGCCATTTCACCAATGCTCTCCTTCTTTCGATCTTGCATCAACTTGTCGTCGGTGAACAATGTACGGAACGACCTCGTGACGTTAGATCGTGATGGTTGGTGACGTCCACTGAGTATCAATGCCATTAGCGAGCTGTTTCCTGAAGCTACCGCAACACTCAACGCTTCGCCATCGTTGTGACTCACAGATGCTCCTTGTCCCAACAGCAACCTAGTACTGGTCGTGTCATTTGTGGCAACCGCCTGTCGTGTCTCCGCGGCAAGGGCTTGGTCCAGAGCGTCTTGTGGTACTCCCAGCTTCAGTAAAGCATCGAGTATTGGTGCCTTCTTATGGGGATCTTCAATCGCTGTCGTGTACTTGAACGCGGTGCTTAGCAGTCTAGGGCTGGCAGTGAGAAGACGCTCGATGATGTCAATGTTTTCGGGGCCGCCATTGATGGCAATCTGCAACGTCTGACTAGCTGGCTCTTCTTCAATTCCATGATTCAGGAGCAAGTCAATGATCTCGAGTGTTTTTGAATGTCTGCCAGCTCGTGAGTCAAAGGCGAGAGGTAGGGCCGCTGATGTCGCTGAGGACTTGGGTCTAGTATTGCAGAGCAGACGCAGAAGAGATATGTCGACTTGTGTCACTGCCAACGACAAGGCTCTTTCGTCAACGTTTGCGCCTTTTCGAACAAGGTCTGTTATCAGAGCCCCATCCCGCCCAGCCGACGTGTCTGCAATTGCGTTGACTAGTGCTTGATCAACACCAGGACCACTTGCGCCGTACTCTAGTAGTAGCCGTGCAATCTCGCGTCGTTCTGACACCGAAACTCCATCAGTACGGAAGATGAGCGGAAATACGTTCGCTAGGGTCTCCGGTGGGGGACGAGCGTTGAGAATAGACTTCAGGGTCCGGACATCGCGGTTGACCACTGCAAAATGGAGTGCGCCGTTGTCGCCTGAATCGACAGGCGCCCCGGCGCCGAGAAGGAGATCGATCAACTGAGTGTCTTTCTCCTTGGTGGCTTGTGTGAGCAATCGACCAAGAGGCGGACCTGATGCGCCTTTCTGTAGCAAGGCGTCGACTACGCGAAGTCTATCTGGCTGTGGGGTGTTGGTCGGCAAAACAGCTAGCGCTGCTGTCGCATGCTGAGGGGCAATGGACGTCTGGAGGATGGCATCCACTAAGCTCCAGTTTGAGTTTTCGATGGCCTCTCTCAGACATTCCGCATTGTCAGCCGTTGTCGGTACGCCATAGCTGACCATCATCTTCGCTCCAGCAGTGTCGTTGCTTCTTGCGAGACAGATGATGAAGTCCGGGAGACCACGACTATCGGGAGGTAGCCCACAGCAGAACAAGAGCTGTAGGAACTGCAGCGTTGCCTGCCGCGTCGGGAGCCTCATGGTAGTGTCGAGCGCATGTTGCAGGTTCGGTTCGTTAAGACGGATCGGGCCAGCGACCAAAGCGATGGCCAACTTGTAGGCCTGTCTTCCAATCGCCATGTTGAGAGCGCTTGCGGAGTCGAAATTGGGGTCAGCGCCGTATGCTATCAGCAGAGATATGATGGCATCCGAGCCTTGCTGAACCGCTGCAGGTAAGCAAGAGTTGATAATTTGAGCACGCAGTGGCTTTGGTGCTCGCAACAAGAGCTTGACAAAGTTCAGGTCATTCGATCGGACTGCATTGGCCAAAGCATTGGGGAAATTGTTCAGGTCTGCTCCGTGACGCAGTAAGAGGCCTATACTTTCTTGATCGCCAGCAGCCAGAGCAGCTTTCAGTCCTTCGTCCAAGGTCTGTTGGTCCGCGCCAGAGGCGGCCAGGATGTTGACACCATCGGCTTTCCTGAGGCTTGCAGCCTGTTGCAATACAGTGCTACGGCGGCGCAATGCAGTGTTGGCCTGGTTACTTGATCTTCGCTTCTTGTCGATTGTCTCGATGATATTCACTTTCGCACCCAGAGTGAGAAAAGCTTGGATCAGGCCGGGTCCAGTCGTAGGACTGCGGATGACGGCGGACAAGGCCTGGTCGAGCTCCTCCTGCGAGAATTGCGTTCCATCTTGTCCCTTGTCCTTCTCTTTCGAGCTTTTGAAGATGCTCTTCAATACATTCTTGCTTTCCGGGTTTTTGGCTCTTCGTTCAAGCAGGATGTTTCGCGCTTGTGAGATGTCCTCGTCGCTGACTGAGATTGCCGGCTGTGTTGGGGCCGGAAGGACTGCTTGGCGCTGTTCGACGGGTATGACGCCAGCATTACGGATGAGGTCTTTGAGGCTCACTCTTCGCTCCATGGTGAATTCTGGGATGATTACTATCGCATACCTAAAGAACCGAGGCAGCGTATTTCTAAAGAGGTTCTACATGAGGGCGTTGCGTAGTGCACACACGTGTGCTGAGGCGGAGCTGCGGAAACAACAAAGACGCTAGCTTGATTCGATTCGGTGAACTCAGGGCCGACGATATGGCCGTCTCACTCGGATGACCGCGACGCGACTCTCCGAATCTCGAGCAACGCCGGTGATCTTAGATACGATGCTGTCGCCGGAACGGTTCTCTCGATCTTTGCTACACCGCCGTATTCAACACGGCCATCGCACTTGCCCACTCACGTTTTGCCACAAGTGCTGACCTCGGAAATCTAGGGCAAGCCACCGCACGGTCTCGAACCTGGAGGTGCAGGCTGGCCTTCTGCTGGCCTTGCACTAATGCGGACCGACTTCTCACTTCTACGCTGGTAAGGTTTCTGTTACGTTCGACGTCTGGGGAAACGGGTGATGACATCCTGCCTGCAGGCGGCGAGCGGCCCACGTGAAGACCAACACGCGGCAAAAGCATCGCGAGACATCTCAACGACTGCGGCGTAGTTGGGTAGCGGTCGCGGTTGTTTCAGCGTGATAGCGGACGAACTGCACACGATATGTTTCCTGCCCCATTTCGGGCCGTCAGCTCATCCCCCACGTTTCAGGTTCTGTGGCAGGTTCTGCAGGTACCCAGGTACCAGTTTCAGCAACACTGTCTAGTAGTCACATGGAACTTCTGTCCTTGATGAGATTTCCCTGTGGCTACGCCGCAGACAGGGTGAGATTGCGGCTCTTCTGAAGTGGCTTCCTTCCTAAGAAAGCTAGGGCTCTCGTCGCCTTAGGTTCGACGACGGCGCATCGTGGCGTGCACGACGAATCTTACAACACGGACTTCGCAGCGCGCCATTGAGCTTTGCGGGTTATATTGACAACCTGTTATGATCTTCAGAATCTCTTAGCAGCTTGGCCAGCATCGAAAGACCCACGGGTTGTTTGTCTTTGCAAACGTCGTCAACGCTCTTCTACCGCAAGGCTGGGATGCCTCGTTTCAGAAGACCGTTGGCCATACTGACTCGCGACGCATGCTCCTACGCGAAACCGCATTCTCGCCCGACACCACGGTACTTCAACCGTTAATCCATGTACCAACGTATCTTGATCCTGTCGAAACACCAACATCGACCTAAGGATCATGTCAAACGTTTTGACATGTTATCACCCGCATTTGCAATCTAAATCCATGTAGAAGCTACCTGAGAAGGTCCGACGAAGGGATGACAGAACTTTATATAAGTCGTCTGACGTCTTCATCAGGTTGGACCAGAGCAAGCGCAATTATCCAGCTTTCAGCCTTTCAGCCTCCTTATCTCATTCTTCATTCGTTTCTTCGGGCTCTGGTAGCTCTACATTCGTTCGCATCTTCGTTAATTCCAACAACACCTTCTTTCTTATCCATAACTTTAGGATACACAAAAGTCTCTCGAATTTCAAAAGCCCTCTTTACCGACAATCGTCAACATGCACGCCTCCCTCTTTCTCACGGCCTTTGCGCTCATTCCAATGGCCATGAGCGCGCCTTCGCGCCTCCCACAAATCCATCCTCGTCAGGATTGCGACGACACTGCCAACACTACCGCGCCTGCAGAGCCTGCGCAACCTGGAGCACCATCTTGCGACCTCAGCGGCATCCAGCAGCCCAGCTCTGCGCTCCCACCGCCAACGGCCGACATGTCTCTCGTTCTTGTCGCGCTCGGCATGGGTACACAAAACTACACATGCAGCAACGCGACAGCCACACCAGCCGCAATTGGCGCTCTAGCCCAACTCTTCAACGCCTCCTGCGAAATCTCATCGAACCCTACCGCTGGCACTGCATCTCTAGGCCGCGTCCAGGAGTCCGCGTCTATCGGCACACACTTCTTCCTCGACACCACTACTCCCGACTTCGACATCCTTGGTCTTGGCAACACGGTGGCTAAGAAAGTCGACGATACGCCTGCGCCCGATGCGACTAAGGATGTAAAGTGGCTCAGGCTTGAAGCGCAAACGGCCTCGACTAGTGGTGTCAAGATGGTGTACCGTCTCAACACTGTGGGTGGAATGGCACCGGCAACTTGCGATGGTATGACACCTGGGCAGGTGGTTACCGTGGATTATGAAGCGCAGTACTGGGTTTACGCTTAGAGACCGACGTCTCTGTCATGGTATAATCTCAGAGCTGGCCTCATCTGATCTTTTATGAGTTTTCGACTACGACTGCAAGATGTTACGTTTCTTTCTTCAACAGTACGAAAGTTGGAGGATGATCTGATTTCTTGTGTGGTTTCTTTCTTGTCATTTCCTTTGATACACACTTTTTAAGGAGGCGAATTTGCTTTATGGCTATGTAGGATATGAGAACAGATGAATGTAACAACAGATATCGCCAGTACAGTTCACATGTGCTTGCAGTTAGTATTTACTCGATTACTAGAGCAGACTACTTATGTTCATTCAGGCATTTAACCTTTCAATTATTGTTGATCGCATTGAGTCGTAGGGGTATGACACGTTTCATTAATGCAACTAAGGGTAACGTCCATCAAACATTCTTAAGCGCTCGAGTAGATGAATCCCAACTGGTCAACCTCATCGCCCGAACGACCAAGGAAGCCAACAATACCACGACCAGTCCCCGCAGTCCTTGTAACACAGTCATCCGTCTTGACGCCAGTGGAAACCGTCTTCCCAGCACTAGTCGTAAACAACGCATAGAAGATCCTCGTCTTACCGTTCTTCTGACCCTGACACAGCTGCGCAGAAGTCAGCGTCTCATCCGCAGCCAAAGTCAACGTAGTCGCCTCGCCGCCAGTCCCACCATGCGAAAGCGTCAGTCCAGAAGCCAAGCTAACGGAAACTGCATCAACACGCTCCTTACCACGGAGCGTGATGGAAGACACCTTCGGGCTGGCGAGACTGGAGACGGCGCTCAGATCGTTGTACCACGTACCTTCTTCACCGCCAAACACATCAGAGACGCTTCGGCGGGCATTCAGGCTCCAGGAGAAGTCTACGAGCACACCGTTATGGTCGCTCAACAAGTCGCCGTTCTCCTGGAGGAACATGTGGCCGGCGTAATCGAACTTCGTGGCCTTGAGCGTTACAGCGTCAGAGCCGCGGTACCAGGTCTTATCGACGATCTCGCACTCGTTGGTTGTGGACGGGTTTGAGCAGAGAAGCGCGTCGGCGCCCTTGGCAGGTGGGACTCCGTTCTTGACGAGCTCGAGCCAGACATCTGTCATGCCGTTTTCGGTCTTGAAAACGTCGGGGATGTCGTCGGTGCGTGTGTAACGCGAGTTTGAGTCGCCGAAGACGACGACGGCGTTGCCGACGGAGTTGGCCTTGATGTAGTCGGAAACTTGGCGCAGGTTGGCTGCGCGGGCCTTGTTGTCGGCAGCTGTGGTGCTATGGAGGGTTAGTGAGTTGTCATAGGGTTGGATGAAGTAGGGTGACTTACCCGGCATCGGCGTGTAGATTGTACATGTCGACTACTGCGCCTTCGGCAATCTTGACACGCATGAAAGTGAAGCCCTTGGGTGTGAGGCAGTCCGCACTACTGTTGACAGAGTGTTATGTCAGTGCCGTACAATGCAATGTGTTTGTGTCATCGTTTCAGCTTGACTTACTCAAAAGTACTGCACGTGTTCCACTTGACTCGCTGAAAACCAGTGTAAGGATAGTTGCTCAAAGTGTTCAAGCCGCTGCCGAATGGCACTCCTCCGCTGGTAGGCGTCCTATATGGGTGATCGTCGTTGGCATATAGTGTGGCATGGTAGTTGAAGTCCTCTTGAACGTTGATGACACCGATATCGTATTGAGAGAACAACTTTCCAATACGAGCAGTGTTTGTTGTCTTATCACCGGGTACATCGTTACCGTTCAGGGCAGCAGGAAGACCAGCGACATTGAAAGTGAGGGTGTTGAACGTGCCGGAGGTCTGGGCAACGGCGAAGGGAAGCAGGGAAGAGAGAGCGTAGACGGAAGCCAAAATGGAATGCATCTTGAACTGTGTTGAGGACTCGACAACTTAATCGTGCAGTCTGACCAAACCTCTACCAATGTAGGCTTGCTCTTAAGTATACAGAGACCTTGATGTTGACTCGAAGGTGTGGTGCGAAGTAGGTTAGGCCACCTTAGACGTCATAACGAATGGTAGGCCAAAGGGATGGCATGTGTGTTTACATGCTGCGCAGTGCACATATTGCTGCAGGCATTGATTTCGGAGGTTTACCGTTGCAGGAAGGACCAATAGCTCACAGGGCTCGGGTGGGTTAGCGTGCCCGAGATCAATGCGAGATCATCCGGGATCCCTGCGCACGTGCGATGGGGATAGACGTTGGGTGGCAGGTTACTCGAGGCTGCGATAGGAAATATAGAGTGAGACGGAGAATTGTAGAAGCGTGTGTGATTCTTGTAGTATGCTTCGCACGCTGGTGGTTGTTGTGGTTATAGTCTTGCAGCACCGCGAATCTTGATCCACAGCCCCTCGACCGTAAGTAGCGGCTTGCCCTGTCGATCCCTCATCGTGGCTTTCATCCGCATTTTGTTCCCTGTGTCCCCAACTACAATCGTTTCAATGCCGACAACACCAGGGCATAACACCGGCGCCAGAAGCTTCACGTCCATAGTAGCTGTGGCTAATCGGCCCTTAAGCACCTCTTGTGCCGACTTTCCATCATGAAGCTGGAGTCTCCAATAGTCTTCCCCTACTTTCATAAAGCCAAGGCCATGTTCAAGCACAGTATTGGCAACCAGGATATGCAGCATTGCTTCATCCATGAGTGTCAATAATGCGCCACCGTGGCAGATGCCGGGAAAGCCGTTCAAGCCGGTTCCATACTTGATCAGAGATATCGACTTGGTGACTTTGGCGCCCGGCGCCGGCTTCTCGTACAGCTCGAGCCAGTTTTTCACGCCGTTGTTCGCGCGCATTGTGTCGCGACAAAATCGGTCCGTATCTTCACCCGGTTCGGTGCCTCGCTGGCGGTCACATGCAATCCAGCTGGGAGATGTCAGGTACGGTGTAGCCCATGTCAAGGATGCAAAAGCTTCGAGATGTTCGGATGTTGCCGTCATGGTAGAAAGCGGAAAAGTGGTGTACTGTGTCCAAAATGCAACCAGTGCATCAGTGGCTTCCTCTTTATCCTCATTTTCGCACTGCTCTCGTCAAAGTATGTGGTTAGTAATAAATCAAGCGCTGATGGGCGTCTCTGTGAAAGGTAGGTTGCTGATGGTATCTTTCCTATAACAGTTGCTGGTAAGACTGTGGCGCAAGGCTTTGGTGTGCTGCGCAGAAGAACCGCCGGATCAGAAGCAGGCGGCAGCAGCCGAGGTAGAGATATCAGTCATGCGGCTGATGCTGGCTCCTGCGCGACGTCGTGAAGCCAAAATGCCATGGTTGGAAAAATGCAGCGTCGTTAGTACTGTATTGGATGATGCAAGTGCTCGAGTGTGCACCTGGGTGGAGGCGCGCAATCTTAGCGCGTGTCACGAAGAGCGCTGCAGGTAACACTTGGCCTCTTCACCTCTCACAACCACCATCGCGTGTTCGCCTCAAATGTCTGTCTTCCTGTAGTCGGCGACTACGCTTATTGATATTCGATTAGCATGCATGTGCAGTTTCTAACATTCTGAAGGCGTACAGGCGGCGATCGTGCCACAACAATGCGACATCCTACCAATGCTGTTTCGATGGCGGCATACATCACATCGCCTCAATCGGCATCAAGCTGGGTGGCTTAACAAATCGCTGCAGCGAATACTAAGTTGCTTATACAACCTGACGATTACCATACATTGGCAAATGCAACCGCCGAACCTGCGCATTCCATGATGCCGCAGATGCCTCTCACAGTCACGTGATGCTTACTTACTCCATGTAATCGCTCTACAGGACCTATTATCGCGTAGAGAGCGTGCCGAAATATGCCGGTAACTCATTGGACATTATTGAAATGCGGCGGCCGATGCCTCGGATGCCTTTGCGGCACTCAAAGTGTCGCCAGTTGTGCAGGTCGTTTATAGAGCATAGCACCATAGGCACCGATGCAGTGGATGAACGGTTTAGGATAAGGAAAGTCGCTCGTTGATGAGCAACGCATCATCAACCAAATTCCATCTCATTCAGCACGAGAAACACGTCGCGACGAAAGGAGTCTTCATGTCCAGCCTCATCAAGAACGTCATCATCCTAGGAGCATCCGGTTCTGTTGGCGCACCCATACTTGACGCGCTCCTCGCGGAACCCTCCTTCAACGTAACCATTGTCAGCCGTGCATCCTCATCAGTCTCGTTCCCATCTCACATCCCCATCATCAAAATCTCGGACGCCTTCACGACAGAAGAGCTCACAGAAGCCTTCAAGGGTCAAGATACAGTCGTAGTCGCGTTATCCACCAGCCCAGTCACCGCTGGCGGAGAAGATGGTCTAGCATTCCGCCTCATCGACGCTGCACTTGCAGCACGCGTAGAACGGTTCATTCCCAGCGAATTTGGCGCCAACAATCTCAATCCCCGGGCTCGCGCTCTCGTACCGACATACGACCTTAAGGGAGAAATGCTGAAGTACCTCATCAACACACGCGACGAAAAACACAGCAAGATGACGTGGAGCAGAATTTATTGAGGTAGTTGGCTGGACTGGGCACTCGATCCATCAAAGTCTGGTAACTTCCTCGGCATAGATGTGAAGGGGAGGCAGGCGACGGTGTACGATTACGGGAATAGGCGCTTTGCCGTTACGAGTAGCAAGAACACCGGCCTTGCAGTTGCGAGAGTATTGGTGTATCCTTTGTTCACCGCAAACAAGCAGATCTTCTTGTGCGACTTCTCGGTCAGCACCAGGCAGATTGTCGAAGCACTGGAAGTGGAGACTGTGGCCAAGTTCCACGTTGAGGAGAAGGAGAGCGGTCCGGAGATCAAGCAGTTTCGAGAGGAATTCGAAGCAGGGGATTTGAATGCGACGTTTCGGTTGTTGGCAATCAGTTTCGGGGCTGATGTAGCTGTTGGTTACGATTTCGAGGCTGAACAAGAGATCTGGAATGGTAAGCTAGGGCTTCCCAAGGTGACATTCGAAGAAGTGGTTCGTTGGGCTGTACATCTGGCGGCCCGCTCCTAGGAGCAGCAGAGGTTGAGCTCTGTTTGGAAGGGGACATGAAATTTACTATTCTCTGATATATACCTCCTCTCCTTACAGCCATGACACACCACTCAATTCCACCCTCCCACCCGCTATCCCCCCACAACCTAAATCGTCTTCACCGGCCCACCCGGCGGCGTATACCCCCTCTGCCCCGCCTGCACCTGCCAAAGCTGCACAAGCACCCCCTCCTTATCATCCGGATCATACGCCCCCGGCAGTCTCACACCCTCCGGCAACCCCTTCACCCCATCCCCACCCACCTTTATCTGCACACACGCCGGATAAAACTGCGCCCCCATCCTCGTGCCCGCCACATGCAGCCCCAGTATCTCGTGCCTGAGCAGATACTCACCGGGTTTCAGTCCCGCGGGTATGGTAACAGTCCAGCTGGCGCCTTGCTTGGCGAGGTAGTCGGAGCCCCAGGGAGGGGACTTGCTGGTGTCGTAGCCCATTTGGTCGAATTTGACCTGTGAGGGGGGTATGTGGGGTTAGTGGTTGTTTTGTATGGAGTCTTTGTAGGTGTGGATCTCACCCAGGGGGTTCCGGTGTCGCCTTTGAAGGTTGTGCAGTTGCTGCCGCAGGAGGCGAGGTAGTTCATTACGGGGCCCGAGTGCGAGGAGCCCCATTGGTCCCATTGGAGTTTGCTGGATTGTGTTAGTGCCGGGGTTGGGTTCAAGGTTGCTGTGTTGATGCTTTGCATGGCAATGAAAGAGGACGAGGGGATATGAGAGGAAGAAGAGGAAAGCACGTACACCTTGTCCCCCGGCATAACCGGTATAACGCCTTTCGCTGGCAGGTTACCTCCCACATTGCACGTAATGTCTTTGGATGTGAAGTCAGGAACCGGTCCGTTGTCTTTGATGCGACGGGCGTAGCGAACAGGTTCGGGAGTGAGGTAGTCGTCTTGGCCGACTTGCCAGGCTAGGTAGTTGGCTCCACCATTGACCGAGATGGACTTCAGGTAGCCGTGAGCGGATGCGGAGGTGATGAAACCGAGGAGGGAAATGGCAGAGATGAACATGATGATGGTATTGAGCGAGCCGCAGTGGATAGCAGCTGTTTGTGTTTGATCTTGTTGACGGTATTTCCGTCGCTGAATGTTGTGGTTTATATACTGGAATGGTCAAGTCCTTTCTCAGTACCATCTGCATGTAGTCCTGCAGTGTCACGTCGTCCGACCCGGAATCCGTAGATTACTTGAACGCTTGTTTGAGGATCGCCTGCTGCTTTTTGGTGGATTATTCCATGTTAATTCTAGAAGGCGTGGACGTGACTCAATTTAGATTGGGCGCATATTGCTGCGGAGTGGATCCTCCGTGTCCAAATCGGGCGGCGAGGCGGAACGTCGGACGTCGTTTCAGTCTTCGTAGCACATCGGAACACGGTGTGGCAGAACGGGCTGCGAAAGGTTGGAGTTATGGATAGAGATTTGATGAATTCTTTCTATGTCACTCATGAACTCGTCGAAATAGAAACGTGAAGATTACGTGCAGAGAAAGTACTTGTCTGCAGACAGATCTACACATCGTCCTAGACACCAGGCATACCAACCATCAGTACCTCTTGTATTTTCCCCGATGATGCTTAGCACTCGAAGTAGCAAGTCGACAGCCTGTCCCAATAGTCCCGGTCCCGGTTGACCCACTCAGTGCGGTTACACGAAGCATCCTTCCAGCCCTTGAAGCTATCATCGAAGTCGATAGTACCGACCATACCGCCAGTATACTGGAACTTGAACCATTCCCAGTGTGCACCAGGAGTCATGTTGATCCACCTGAGGCTGAAAGTGTCGGTGGGTTTGAAGAGACCGTGGATCTTGAGTGCTTGGCCCGGTGGCTTGCCGTCGATCGCCTTTCCGTTGAGCATGCCTTTGAGAGGCTCACCATCGTCCCAACTGTGTGACGTTAGTGTGTGTACTACTGTCATGAATGGCAAGCCGGTCATGGTAAGAGTGGTCTACGTACGTCATGCCTTCAATGGTCTTGTTCTGGCCGTCCGAGAGAGCGACCCAGACGGTGGTGTCGATATCTTGCGGATTCTGGGGCTTCTTCTCGACGATGTTGAGGTAGAGGTAGCACATGCCGTGAGAAGGTGGATCTTGTCTCGCGGCGGCGTCGGAGGTCAACATGGCAACATCGGAGGATGCAATGGGCACCGCAGCAGTGTTGGCGACGTTGCAGATGCTCAGAGCAAGTAGCAGAGCAGCGTTGAGGAACTTCATCGTGAAGGAAGTGATGTGCTTTCGGTAGTAGTCTAGGCTCTATAGGATGTAGTGGGTGGATTGGTGGTGGTTGCGTCAAGCAATGGAAATTGGCAGAGGTGCAGAGACTTTTGAACGGCAAGAGATTGCAATAGCAGTAAGCGGTGAAAATGCGGATTCGATGTGAAGTCGGCTAGAATACTGAGCCGAGTGCGGAAGGCACGACTAGCGGTGACGTCGCGTAAACACAAACAATCAGCGCACAAAAGGGCGCATCAATGACCCGCTGCCATACTTTTCGTAAAAGATACACAAACATGCCGAAATAGAAAGCTGATTCGCTATCATCAAAAGCCCAATGCTCTATCATACGATCTTCGCTCCAAACGCCAATGTAATGCAAATCACAAACGGCTGGCCCAGACGGCGCTTTCCAGCACCGTAAGAGAGGGAGTCATTAGGCGACGATATCCACCAAGAGTATTAAGTAGCGAGCAATGGTCGTGTTACATTTCGTGCTTCCTCGTCAATCTCCTCTTGCGTTGGGGGTGTCAAACGAATACTTCGGAGCCAGCCGTACCACCGTCAAACATGCTTGTAGATGACCGGGCTCTTGGGTGGGGTATCCACATTGATCGAGTCTACTCTCTTCCTGGGGGTGCCGCTGGGTGAGCCCGAGCCCACGTTGTCGTACTCGTACCAAACGCCTTTGACCCGCCTATTCAGCTTCCGAGGAGGTGGGCTGATGCGGGTTGCGAGAGCGTTGAATGAGCTAGTGGATAGCGATTGGTTACTTGCTGTATCCGAGATGACGTTTGAAGTGAACTGTGTGACAGAGTCGCCGAGGTTCTCGATAGTGCGCATCATACCCTGGCAGGTCTGTGACAGCTCGATCTGGTTCTTGGACAGGGTCTGGAGTTGAGAAACGGTCGTCTTGAGTATGTCCTTGGTTTGCTCCTGAGACTTGCGCGTTTGCTCTTGTGATTTCCGTGTTTGTTCTTGACTTATCCTGCTTTGCTCATGCGACTGGAATGATGTGTTGGACAGGGCAATGTAGTGTGACGCGTTCTGATCGACAAGCGCTTGAAGCTTGATTTGAGATTCGGAAATGGCCTTGATCTGGATACTGTTCGACTCGTTGATCTCTTGCATCGCTTGTAGGCCTGTCGATTGCGCGACCGAGAGCGCATGGACTTGCTCAGCATTGCTCTCGACTATGCTTGCCAGCTGGGTCAGACTCGCCGCCAGGCTGTCGATAGCCGAAGTGCTCGCCTTCTCTTCGCATTGGTGCGGTGGCGCGACGGCGGGAACACCGTTCGCATGTTGCAAGGGTAGGACAATCGGTGGGCATGTCGGGCTATCCTGGCACGTGTAGAACCACTTGTTCTGAATATCGGAGAACCTGGGGTCTTCCATTATGAGCTCCATGTCTTCGCTCCTGACGACGAAATACTGCGGGCTCGGTCGCGACGACGACGTATATTCCTGCTGGACCAGATCCCACCATTGCGTGCAAATGGCGGCCGAGGCGAAGGTGAGGATGTATGGAGGAGATGCAGGATAGTCGCTCTATCGCACAAGTCAGTACGCCGTTGTTGGCCGGTCGATGGCACACAGTGCAATTGGCATCGCTCACCCTCTGCGCATAGGCATAGAACAGATTCCCACCCTCTTCCATCTCAACCCTCTTTTCCTGGGCCGGCCGGCTCTGGCTTCGTTTGCGCGGCGATAGTGATCCAGTCGCTGGTGGGGTGTCGGTGTTCATCATCAGTCCAGCAGCGAGCGAGATGCTCGGCTTCTTCCTCATGTTCTGAGGCTTTCGCTCTGGTGATGTCTGTCGTCGACTATGACTGTGTATGCGCTTCTCGAAGTTGGAACTGGAAGACTCAAAGACAGCCTGCGACATGGAAGATTCCATGAGCGCGGCGAAATCAGGCATGCTCTGTGGACGCGACATGTCTGGATGGGAGGGTGATTCAGGTTCGGAGGTACAGTGGCAGCAGAAAGTATCGTCGAAGTTATTGGCCAAGTGACACCTAAACGACATAAAGAGACATATGGACGACACAATCTCTTGAAAGCCCAAGAACAAATAAAACACCAAGTGACCGGGGAGGGGCTGGTGAGCTATGGTAGTGTATGAGGTTGCGGCTTGCTGTCATCCCTGTCGATGACCTCACAGTACCACGGCTTTACTGGGATGCGCGTGCGCTTGGGGGTTCAGTACCAGCGGAAGACGGGAAGTCTAGATGTCAATGGATGTCAATTGTCTCATCGCATGCTA